AGAACCAAGCAATACTTTTTAAGTGAATGAATAGGGTATATATTGAATTTGAACAAAACCTTTAAAATATAAATTAGAGACCAAGTTTACTTACAGAAATAACCAGAAGAACCTTTTATTCTCCCCAAATAAAGAAAGTAGAGACCAAGGAAAGGTTAATACCAGAAGGAATTCTCAAAAAAAAAAAAAAAAAATGCTGTTCTGCTTTCTCTAAGAAGCAGGGAGCCCAGACTTCCCCATAGTGGTAGAGATGTGGGTTGAGTGGACATGCAGTTTCCTTACCCAGATACCATCTCCACAAAAGTGAGCATTGAAATGTTTCTGTTTGGCAACAAAGAGCTTTTTGGAGAGAGACCTACCATAGAGACATCTCTGAGGATGTGAATTTCCTTTATCATTCTCACAAGTGGCCCAGTGAAGTAATAGTAGATGCCATTGGTCAAATGCATACTGTGTTGGATGTAGTGCTAAGAATTTGACAAATCTTTATCTCCAGAGTGTTTTAATAACTTGCCCAAGGTGACCCAGCTGGGATTAAGTGACAGATGGAAATCAGAGCTGGATGTGTTTACTTTAAAACCTCTCTTCTTTTAGCTTTTGCCAACCATCTACATACTAAAAGCTGATAATGTTCCTTTAAAGTATTCTGGCACTCCTGCATTGGACAGAATACTCCTTATCATTGTAAGGACGGTTGTAGCCTTGCTTTCTAGATGTCATTTAAAACAAAGTCCTGTAGAGGCTACACACAGTAGGGTTTCACTATGACAGTGGGTTTTCACTATGAATAATGAAATGAGTTGTGCATTTTGTGAGGAGGAGAGAGAAAAATCTGAGATAAAGTGGAAACTACTATTTTATTTATAAAATTTTTATTGATTTATAATACTATATAAGTTTAGGGAGTTCAGTTTCACATTTCTATATGCATGTATACCACCAAACTGACTGTGCCAGTCACACTAGCAGATTTACCCCACATACCATGTCAGCTTTGGTAACCACCATAGGGAAATATTAAAGGTAAATTTTCAGGGGCTGAAAAGAGAAACTGAAAGAAAAAACTGCAGGGGAGCTCAATGAGGAAAGCAAGTCATAGTTTATAAAACACCCATCTCGGTGCCAGCTTTTTGCCAGGTCTTTCCTCCCCCCACCACCAGATGCTATGAAATTGCAAGAAATAAGACAGAAATCTCTGCCTCCATGAAACCAATATCTATTAAAGGACACAGAAAATAAACAAACACTTATTGACATAATGTCAGAGACTGGCAAATGATATGAAGAAAATCAAAGCAGGCTAGGAAGACTGGCATAGGACAGAAGGACCTCATTTTAGAAAAGATTGCTAGGAAAGGCCGGTGTGAAGAGTGGGAGCTGAGTGAAAAGAGAACTACATAACAATGTACCTGATGAATAGAGATGCAAAAATTATCTGAAGCACCAGCAAACCAATTTTATCAGCAAGTCGAAAGCAGAGTGTGTCCATGGGACACAAAGATTTAACATATATGTAAAAACGCTCAATGATCTTGGAATAAAAGGAAAGCTACATAAAGGAAAAAAGGAAGCTACATAGCATAATAAAGACCATAAAAGAAAAGCCCACAGTTACCATATGCAATGTGAATAACTCTAAAGCTTTTTCTCTGCAATCAGAAACAAGGCAAGCATGCCCACTCTTGCCTTTTCTATTCAGTATAGTACTGAAAGTCCTAGCCAGATCAATTAGGCAAGAAAAGGAAATAAATGGCATCCACACTGGAAAAGAAGAAGTAAAATTATCTGTTTGCAATTGACATCTTATATAAGGAAAACTCTAAAAATTCCACAAAAAGCAGCTATAAATAAACTCAGCAAAGTTGTGGGATAAAAACTTACTATATAAAAATCAATTGCATTTCTGTACATGAGCTATGAAAAAAGTCCTGAAAGTCAGCTAAGAAAATAATTCCATTATACAATAGCACCAAAAAGAATAAAATAAGGTGAAGACTTAGGGAAAACTAAAAAACATTTGCTGACAGAAACTGAAGATGACATAAAATGAAAACTCTTGTGTTTATGAGTTGAAAGACTTAAGAGTATTAAGATAACCAGATCAATCACAGATTCAGTGGAATCCTTATAAAATCCTAATGGAAAACAATTCCTAATGTTCATGTGAAACTGCAAATGGCTCTGAATGCTCAAAACAATCTTGAAGGACAAAACTGCAGGCTTCAAACTTTCTGATTTGAAAACGTTACAAAAGCATAGTAACTAAAACCATATGACATTGGCAGAAAGACAGCCATATAGACAGACTAACATACTTAGAAATAAACCCTTCTATTAATGGGCCACTGATCTTTGTCTAGGGTGCCAAGACTGCATGTTGGAAGGAAGAATGTCATGTTGTGAAAACAGTATCAACATGCAAAAGAATGAAGTTGGCCCCTTATACCATATACAAAATCTAATTTAAAATGAATTAAAGACTTAAACATATGGCCTATAATAGTATAACTCCTAGATGAAATATGGGGAAAAATTTTATGACATTGGTTTGATGATGCTTCGATATCACAAAAGCACAAACAAAAATATAAATAGACACACGATTTATGTCAGACTAAAAAGTTTCTACAGAGCAAAGGAATTAACAACATGAAAAGGTAACTTGCGGAATGGGAGAAGGTATTTCCAAACCACATATCTGATAAGGGGTTAATTACCAAACTATGAGGAACTCTTATCAACTCAGTAGTAACAACAACAAAACTATTTAAAAATGGGCAAAGGAGTTGAATAAACATTTTTCCAAAGAAGGCATACAACTGGCAACAGGTATATGAAAAGATGCTTAGAGTCACAAGTCATAAAGGAAATGCAAGTTAAAACCACAGTGAGTCATTCACAATGGATGAATGAAGCACACCTGTTAGCAAGGCTGTTAAAAAAAAAATCGAGCATTGGCAAAGACGTCAAGAAATTGAAACTCCGTTGCACTATTGCTGAGAATGCAAGAGGGTGTAACTGCCATGGAAAGCAGTATCGGGGTTCCTCCAAAAGTGAAAAGTAGAAGTACCATAAGATCCAGTGATCCCACTTCAGGAAATACATTCAAATCAATTGAAAGCAAAATCTCAAAGAGACCTTTGCACACCCATTTTCACTGCAGCATCACTCAGAATGGCCAACACAAGGAAACAACCTAAATGTTTATCAGTGGACAGATAAAGAAAATGGACTATTACTCAGCCTTTCAAAGAAGGAAATTTTGCTTCATCGGGAACAGGAATGAATTTTGCAGACATTGTGTTCAATAAACCAGTTGTAGTAGGACAAGTACTGTGAATTTACTTATGTGAGGTAACTAAAACACTCAGCTCAGAAAAGCAAAGATTAGAATGGTGATTTCCAGTCTAGGGGACAGGGAAATGGGGAGTTATTATTGAATAGATGCAAGGTTTCACTTGTGCCAGGTGAATAAATTTTAGAAATCTGTACAGCCTCTGCATATAATGAACAATATTGTGTTATACACTTAAAAATGTAAGAGGGGAGATCTCATATTCAATGTTTTTACCATGATTTTTTAATATTTTAATATTTTTATTACAGGAACATTGACTTACAATACTGTATATAATTTCGGGATCTAGGTTCACACCTCTTCAGATGTATTTGTCACATCACACCTACCAAGGTCCCAAAAGTCTTTCACCGTAGTCCGTTGGGCCCCCTTTGCTGCCCAGTCTCCCACCTTTTCCATCTGGTAGCCTCAATTCTACAGTCAGATTCTTTTTTTTTAAAGATTTATTTATGCATAAAGAGCTGGGGTACAGACCAGAGGTCTTGGGGGGGTGAGAGGATTCACCAGAGACAGAGTGGGAAACAACAGGCGGATTGACTGAAATACATTGCTGAGGGGAGCAGCAGGCAAGACAGGAGAGGTCTGCTGCGCCTTGTGGGTAGCTCCCTGGATGGGGGTTGAACTCGTGCTGCAGTGGTTGCAGACAGCTTCGTAGGTTGCATCTTAACCCCTTGCGCCAGTCAGATTCTTAACACAATTTTAAAAAGAATAAAATCAATGATAAGCTGCTGAGGAATGTTTAGTAGAACATGCTTCTAGGTCATTTTTATTCGTGTTTAGCATTTGTTTACAATAAAGCATTCCATGAGACAATCCTGTTCCCTCACGCGGGCCTTCATGTAGTCAGGGCTGGATGGATGCTGACATAGAGTGTGACTGTGCATTAGGAGAAGCACTCAAGAAGTGTTAAGCTGACTCTTCCCTCCTACTTTGAAACTCCCAAAGTTTATCCTCACTTTGAATTCACATCCTTATTCAGGTCAAGTTGCTCCCAGGCAGTGATTGGTGTATTTACAAACAGAACAGATGAATTTTTATATATTTTGGGGACTAGGGCTGGATCCAGCAGAGGAGTGATGTAACACTCAGATTTGGGGTGAAGAAGAAAAGGAGAGGAAAGTCTTCAGAAAAAAGAGGGCAGCCTGGCAGAACCAGGACTGGCTTTTATCTGTGCTGGGGACCAGTCCTCCCTGTGCTCCTACCTTCTTTGTGTCTGTGATTGACAGCCCTATAGGAGAAGCTCACACCAGGAACAGTTACTTTTTTCTTTCACTTTCTCCTTTTTCTATAAAAGCTAGCTAAATATTGCACCTGTCACCATGACCTAACTGTCGCTCCATCAGCTAAGCAATTGGCGACCGTTGCTAAGTACTGTGAATGTAGCTTGTGGGAAATGGAATATTCCAGTGTAAAATAGGAAGCTAGATGTCCTTATCTGGAAAGTGAGGGTATCAGGCTAAGTGATCAATGTGATGGCTTAAATTAAAACTATCCGTGAAGTATGTATATGTCTGTAAATACTTTCATTCTTCCCTGTGATCTCTGAGGATATGTGTGAAGTCTGAAATTGTCACAGGGTGACTCTTAGTTGAAATGTCACTGACAGCTTGTGGTTTGACCTTTTTTTTTTTTTTAACTCTAGGCAGAAACTACTAGAAACCATTAAACAACTGCAAGAAGATGCTGTTGACCAGGAAGCCATTCTCAGGAAGAAGGTCCAGGAAGTCCACCAAAGGCCAGAGGAATCAGAGGGGCAGGTAGGATGGCCTTTGACAATAGGGTATTCAGGGGAAGTCTCCTCAGATGTCCTTATAACCACAAAGTAAAAATGGAGGAGGAACAGAAGAAAAAAAAAAAAAAAAAAACAAAGAGGAACTGCGAAGTTCAGTCCCTCTCGCCCAGCAGAGAGCGGAGGAAGTGAAGGGGGAGTTGTAAAAGAGGCGGTGTCAACAACCTGCTGATGAAACAGGCGACTTTGCAGAAAGAGGCAACTTGACATATCGGGACGTTCAGCGCTGTAGAAATAGCTCAGGCATCCAGAGCCCAGGCAAACACAGAACTGCAGAAGTTAGGTGGAAGCTTATCACTTCTCTGAGAAGAAAAGCACATTTTCAGTTTTGTGAGCATAGTAATAGGAAGCCCTCCGTAGCTTTCGCCCACCACACTGCTAAAATCCGGTGTTAACTCTACGTGTCTAGGTGAAGGAGCAGGATGAGGCAGACCACCCCGCTGGAGAAAAAGCCAGGTCTTGGCTGCATAAATTAGAGGAAGCAATTTCAGAACAACGGACTCTCCAGACTATAAATACTGAGTTAGCGAGCACTTGCCAAACACTTGAACAGACGCCGAGAAAGCTGCAAAGTGAGTATTAGATGCTTGTTATGTCCCAGTCCTGTCCACTCAGAGGTGGGGTGAAGGGGCTACAGCCGCTTTCCTGGATGCCAGCTGCTTCAGTATTAATTCTGAATTCATGACAGGGAAATGTTTCCTGAAGCAGCACTATGGATTTTCTCAGAGATTTGCCTAGTGGCTGGGGAGATGAATTTAACCATTAACTTTGCCTTTTGATTTGCTTATTACCACCTGAATTTGTCTGTGTTTGTTATTTCCTTAAAATAACAGTACTAACTTCTTAATGTCTGTAAAAATAAAGGAAGGAAAAGTAAAAGTAAAGTAAGGAAAAACAATCTTCTATGCATGAGGTGTTTTGAACTTGCAGACTGTTTACCTAATGTTCCCTGATTTTTAAGCTAGTTTTTAATTTGGTTTTTATTAATAGAGAGGTAGGCCTCTCTATTTTTGAGTAGAGGATTTAGGGTTGGCAAAATACTTGTGAATGCCACGTGTATCAATTATTAAATGTGTGAATATTCTTTAGGTTTTTTAAGTTTTAATGTGTTCTTGGCATATACATTTTGCTTTAAAAATTAGAATGTCATTTTTTGTGTTACCTAAAAATGAATAAGCATTTAGGTGAGAAGACAATTGTCAAATTGTATGTCAGGTTATTTGTAAACTTACTTTATTCTAGAAACATAGTTCAGTAGGAATTAAGTTTATTTAACCATGTATCACATAAAGGCATTTGTTCAGCCAACTTCTAGTTCCAGCAGTACATATACTCCTTTTATAGAAAGTTACTCCCTTGGTTATCAAACAGTGCAATATAAACTTTAGGTAAGCTAGACGTGGAAATGTTCAGGCTCGTGTTTGTTTGGGATTTTTTATAACCTTGCTACTGCTAGCTTAGAGAGCTGCCTAGGAGTTTAAAAGAATAGACTCGTTTTAAAATAGCAGTGGTTATTCAACATTTTATTACTTTTTTTAAACCTTGTAGAACTCTGTAGTTTCAGTAATTCTAAGTACCTGTCAGGCAATGTGAGGCATGCTTTATATTACATAATCTGTTGTTGTTTTATGATTGTTCGGAGGGCTTCGGAGATGGTTCCTTTGTGATGTTGACACATGAATAATAAGGCATTTTGAATTTGGGTTAAAGCATGTTTGCTTTAGTCACTGTGCTTAGAGAACTAATCTTTTGGTCCAGTCAGATTCATCTTTTGGTTTTATCAATTTTATAACACATAAGAATATATCTCCCCCTCCTTGATTTCCTTGTAATAACTCCTTTAAAGAGCCTGCTTTTGTAATTTATCTCAAAATGTACATGCCTCTCATGTTATGAGCTTGTTATTCTTGTCCCAATTTATTATTAGGGGAATAGTGGTCCAAATATTATAAAAACAGAATATGAGAGCTGTCCTGGGCTGAGTGCATCTATTTTCTTCTATCTGCACCTATGGAGCAAATGCCTCCTTTCTGTCTTTAGTTCCTTGCTTAATAAATCCACTAGCTGTTTGCATCTTTTGCGACCCAAAGAAAGCCTGCATATCATGATTTTGCTTGTTGGGCCATTTGCTTATGATCTTTCTAATAATTCCTTGGAAAAATCACATTTTGGGGGAAGGGAAGTTTTCAGCATGTGTTTTCAAATGTTCTAGATAATAGATTTGCCAGATTAGACTCTGAACAAATGGCAATGAGGTAGGACAGTTATCACAGAAACACACCCTCACACATGCTCACCACTGCTGCCACCACATGCTGCTGGGATTCTGAATCAGGCATTTGAATTCTGAGTCAGAAAATAAAAATATTTATGTTCCTTTGTTTCTCATGAATCTTTCTGGTTAGCTTAATATATCCATTAAATGAATTGATTGTTTTCTGCTGCCTCTCATTACAAATTGGGGATGCAGCTATTCTTCCCAAATGGTCTCTTCACTGACAGTGTCCACAAACTGAATTAGGATGCTGTTAATGGCATCTGATTAGAAACCGTGAATTTGAAGTTGAATAAATAATAGTATTCAAGTGTCCCAGTGCTACTGGGACTGGACTGATCTATGAGAGAATTCTCACACACACTGGCCTCCATGACCTGGACCAGTAGAAAACTGCTAAATTTCGTGAATAGATACTTGGATATTTTCTCCTTTGTCTTTTTGCCTTTATAGGTATCTAAGTATCTTGTTTTAAAAGACAAAATTACATAGATAAATAGATGTTTGATTTCAAAAGCAAACAAAGCTGCTAAAACAAGGCATGCATTCAAACATGTTGGGTGAATGTAACGTACAGGAATCATAGACTAATTGATTAATCCAAAGTGCCCTTTAGTATTCACCCTCTTTTGGCTCTCACTTGAAATCTTCATTTAGATAAGTAATGAATTATCTTTGGGAACCACCTGTGTTTCCTTAGGGAAAGTTCCTGAGAAGTCTGCAGATTGTAATTACTGAGAACATTTGCACATAGTATCTGGATATGAACTTCACAGTTTAGAAAAGACTTTCGCTAGATGAGCTTGGTGGAAACTCTCTTCTGGCTGCTGTTCATACATGGAGGGAGGGCAGGCAGTGTGCAGGGACCACAGCCCAAGGCTTGGAGAATGGATGCAGGATGAGCGCTGCACCTCCTGAGCATCAGGATGCATGTGGGAAATGACCAAGGAGAAGGATGCAAGTGACTGAGACACATAGAGGTAGAAGGTATTGGGGTAAGGAGGACCCCAGAGAAAAGCCAAGCCAAGGCAGCCTGCCCGACAGCTCCGCCGGCATAGGAATCTGTGTTTCCTCAAATGAGCAATGCAGGTATGGATAAAGTAGTCCAGAAGGCCAATGTAGAATGTAATGAGAGCGTGGGGTTGGGCCTCCCTGGTGGCGCAAGGGGTTAAGAACCTCACTATGAAGGAATCAACAGCCTCTGCAGCAAGAGTTTGATCCCCGGGCGGCCAGGGAGCAACCCACATGGCACGGCAGACCTCTCCTGTCTCTCCCGCTGCTCCCTCAGTAGTGTATTTTGGTCAATCTGCCTGTTCTGTTCCCCACTCTGTCTCTGGTGAATCCTCTCACCCCCTGAATCTCTGACCTGTACCCCAGCTCTTATATGCATAAATAAATCTTTTAAAAAAAGAGCATGGGGTTAGGTGTGAAACCTGTGTTCTCATGAACTCATGCTGAGCCTCAGCATTCTCTTCCCATAAAATGTGGTGTGCCTTTGTTCACTAATAAAAACATAACATACAGAATGGTAGCCAGGGCTTGGTCATAAGGGCACAGCCTGTTCCGCTGGTGTCTGTTTCCATCCTGTAGATGACTTTATTCACTGTGTAAATGAATTTAATATGATTTTCATTTGTCCTGCTGGCTGGGCTTTCTAGATTTTCACCGTGCCCATTTTCAAGATAGGTTACTTGTACTTTTGTCATTGACTTGTTGGATTGCTTTTTTTTTTTTAATTTTAAGTTGTTAGTTAACTTTTTTTTTATATAATAAATTTTATTTTTATATTCCCCATACAATTGCAACCCCCTTATTTTGACCCCAGTCCCTCCCCTCCCGTCCTCTACCCCCCATAGAGTGTCTCTGGTTCATAGTTGTTTGTTGATTTTGATTTTCACTTTCTTATAGATATTCATTTTCCTGGTCCCTTATTTAAGTTTTCTAGATTCCTGCTATGAGTGAGACCATCCGGTATTTTTCTTTTTCTTTCTGGCTTATTTCACTGAGCATGATCCCTTCCAGCGCCATCCATGTTGCTGCAAATTGCATGTGTTTATCTTTTTTGAATGCTGAGTAATATTCCATGGTATATATGTACCACATCTTCTTGATCCAGTCATCTATTTTTGGGCATTTGGGCTGTTTCCAAAGCTTAGCTATTGTAAACAGTGCTGCTATAAACATAGGGGTGCAGGTGTTCTTTGGAATTGATGTTTGGAATTGATGTTTCTGTGTCCTTTGGGTAAATACCTAGGAGTGGAATTGCTGGATCATATGGAAGCTCTATGTTTAGTAGGTCCAGAAATCTCCACACAGCTCTCCATAGTGGTTGGACCAGTTTGCACTCCCACCAACAGTGCAGAAGAGTTCCTTTTTCTCCACACCCTCACCAACATTTGTTGTTGCTAGTTTTTTTATGATTGCTTTTTTTTTTAAGATTGATTTATTTTTATACAAGAACTGGGGTACAGGCCAGAGGCACGAGAGGATGAGAGAATTCACCAGAGTCAGAGAGGGGAGCAGAACAGGCAGTTGGACCGAAATACACTGCTGAGGGAGCAGCGGGTGAGACAGGAGAGGTCTGCCGCGCCATGTGGGTTTCTCCCTGAAGAGCTGGGAATTGAACCCACGCTGCAGAGGCTGTGGACAGCTTCACAGCACTGCATTCAACACGCTGTGCTCAACCCACTGCGCCACCGGGGAGGCCCTTTGCTGGATTTGTTCACATATTTTGCATACATGTCCTTCAACAGATACATATATTACGAATTATTTTATTCCAGTCCTGTAACTTTCATGAAACTAAAAATTTTTTGAAAATTTTATGTAGAATTTTTTTTTCAACTGAGGTAATATTGGGATTCCCCCATCACATATTACCCCTAGTAGTGCACCCTCCACCAACTCACCCATATTCTACCACTGTAGACTGCTGTGCTTCCTTCTCTTTGTTCTTACCCTTCCCCCATCAACCTTTTAATTCTAACGCACATTTTTGTAGAATCATTTCATGAATGTCACCACCAGTGATGATAATTCTATTGCTTTAATATTAAGATTTTGATTTTCAACAGCCAATTAATTCTGGGACCTTTGTCTGAAGGCCTCACTGCATAGTCATTTGGAAAATGGCTTTGTCCCAACTTCCTTCAAAGACAGTGTATCCAAGGCACCTAGTCCCGTCCTCCATCACAGATGGCAACAGCCGGGGACACAGTGGCAGTTGTGCTTGCTTCCATGGGAAACCTGAAGGTCCTAGAGACCTTGCAAGTCCAAGTCCAAATACATAGAGATACA